TATATATATATTATTTATTATTTATTATTATTAAATAATATAATTTGTATAAGTATACACACACATACATACAGACTCATACACACACACAAGCACATATATTTATTTATATATGCTTTTATATTCTTATGAAGCTACATCTGACTATGTATTTTGAATATCTCATGCTCTTGATTCGAATACGGAGCTGCAACTCATAATTTTTACCGCATTGCTTCATCTGACATTCATGCGCCATGGATTTTTATATATTTATTCCTCACGTTTCCTCAGCACGAGGCCTAGTAGTATGGGGTTTAGTTTGTAATTCGCTTAGCCGTGATTCAATTTCGAGTTAGAAATAGTCCACGAGAGCCACAACGAGTGCCGTCATGAACAAAGTCTTATTGAGTACACTCACCGCACGCCGTAGTGTAGTGTAACGGGTGTGTCCCCAAGATTAGGGTTATCGCTTATAGAAACAGAATCCCGAGCCTTTTATTAGCGTCAATTCACACGCGTGACCAGCCGCATCCCAAGCAATTGGCGAGTGACGGACCACTTTATGGCTTGTAAACGACTCTCGAGCCGGTCCCATACTTGATTTATCGTTCTGCCTCGATCAATCCGGTAGTGGATACCATCAATGTTCGATAGCATCTCTCCGCAGCTATACTCAGCCCCACCAAACTAACCTCTTCTGACTCCAGCTGGAAACCCCCGCCGCATCGACCGTCCGCCCTGATGACGCATCGGCCCAGGACTTGCCCGCACACGAGCCTATGCTGGATGTGAACATGCACTATGCTGATCCATTCCATCTGCAAGTGCCCCAGCTAGACTCTCTACACCTCCTCTCACCACCACCCTCTCCGCCGGTCGGATGGGAGCATGTGGTTGAGCCTATCCCCACGGTGGACCAGGCTCTTGTGTCGGTATGTAGCTGTCGGATTACATGCGTATGTATTTGGTATACATGTGTATGCGTATGTTCATGTATGTGATTAGGTGTGAAAACAAATATATGTTGTAGTCAGAGTTCCCCACACTGCTGCCACTCCCGAGATAGGAGCACAATATATGTATATATATGTATACACACACATATATATATATATATATAGATATATAGATATATATATATATATGTATTCATATATTACTTAATATT